TTATATATGTATTTTTGAAATATATTCGTATTATATAATAAAATATGTATATGTGATATATATTATATTATATTGTGTTAGTTTTAAATTTAATTTTATATGATAAATTAAATTGAATAACTCAACATGATATGAGGGAATTTCATGTCAGTTTTAAATTTAAATTTAAGATAAATTTGAATTAAATATAATATCATAGATTAAATTTATGAGATAAATTTAATTAAAATTTTGTAGGCTTTTTAGTGAAAGACGAAAACTCTCTAATATATATTATATATATATATTATATAAATAGGGACGTGCTTTACGAAGAGAGTTAGAGAGTTAAAAAAGTTTAATGGCCAAATACTTTAAGAGTCACGAAACACCCTAGAGAAAGGAAAAACTAATATTTAAAGAAGAATGAAAGCTAGGAGTACTAGTATACTATTCGAATTAGAGAGCTATTCTTGTGGATATCGATAGAGGGAGCAAATCTACTTTGTCAGCTCCTGAGATCTAAACTCTTGAAGAGAACACACATCAAGTTTGAAAAATTAAAAGGTAACTCTTCTATTTACCTTGACTTAAATGAGTTCGTTCGGTCCGTATCTAGATAGGGATTTTAAAATTTTAATCTTTCGCTGCGCCTCCCTATCCAACATTTTGAATATATCAAAATATCATCAATAAAATGATCAAGAACTTATCAAGGAATGGTCTAAACACCCAATTTATCAAATCCATGAATGTTGCTGGTGCATTAGTTAACCCAAATGACATTACAAGGAATTCGTAATGACCATATCGAGTTCTAAATGCAATCTTAGGTATGTCCTCCTTCTTGATCTTTAATTGATGATAACCTAAATGCAAGTCTATTTTGGAAAAAAAAACACTAAGCTCTTGTAGCTGATAAAAAGATCATCAATTTGAGGCAGTGGATACTTATTTTTTATCGTCACTTTATTAAGCTACTGATAAACGATGTAGAGTCTTAATGACCCATCCTTTTTCTTCACAAAGAGCACTAGTGCTCCCTAAGGAGATGTGCTTGATTGAATGAATCCCTTATCTAATAGTTCTTGCAATTGAGTCTTCAGTTCTCTCAACTCAAAAGGTGCCATTCTGTAAGGCAGCATAGAATTTGGTTGAGTGTTCAGAACCAAGTCAATGGCAAATTCAATCTCCCGATCAAGTGAAAATCTAGGTAATTCTTCTAGAAAAACATCAAGAAATTCTCAACGACTAGGATTTGATCCAAACTAATAGTGGACTTATCAATGTCTTTTACTATAGCTAAAAACCCTTGACAATCCTTCTGAAGTAATTGTTAGGCTTTTAAAACCGAAATAAGATTAGTAGGTCTTTTCAATAAACTCCCTCATAATACAAAAGGATCTCCACTTGGAATATCAAATTTTACCACTTTTAAGTGGCGGTCACGGTAGCATAGTAGGAAGCTAACCAGTCTATGCCCAAAATTACATCAAAATCAACTATATCAAGCATCATCAAATCAATAAGGGTTTCTTTACCCTTAAGAGACACTTCACAAGACTTATATACATAAGAAACAATTAAAGATTCCCCTATTAGAGTACCAACTACAAATGAATTATCAAGTTTCATAGGTTATTTACCCACCTCTTAGTAAGATAAACAGACACATATGAATGAATTGATCTAGGATCAAGTAATGCAAAAGCCTAATTAGAGCACACAGTTAAAATACTTGTAACAACAACATTTAAAGCTTTAGTATCATGCCTTGTCATAACATAAACTCTCAACTGTCTTTGCCTTCAAGAAGACTGTCTTCTCTTACCATTTCCCCTTCCAGACATGCCCTTGCCAACTGACGTAGAGGCAGCCCAAGCAGGTAAGACAGAAGATGAAGTAAGGTAGGGAGAAAGTTGAATGATTCGTGCTTGACATAAATTGGAGATATGGACAATTTCTTCTCAAATAGCCCATATGCCCAAACCCAAAGTATATGCCAGACACTTTATGACATGGTCCCGAATGGTATTTTCCACAACTAGCACAAGGGTTTTTAATATAACCTGATTGATTTGGAACTGAGTGGGCTCTGGGTCTAACATTGCTAGGATTAGATTTCATGACAAAAGTGCTTGCTGATGGTGAACCATATGATCTAGGTCTAGACTGCATGGTACGAAAGTGAGATTGACTTGATAATTGATGACTCTTGGAGGAAGAACTGGGAAAATTTTTATCGTGCTCCCTCTTGCTTTTCCTAAAACTTACTTCCTCTACCTTATGTCAATTCTCAATTCTCAATACGCTATCAACAATCTCAGTATAGGTAATATCATGACCCAGTATAGGTGCTATATTTTCATGTATGTCTACTGGCTATCCATACACAAACCTACTAATCCGTTCCCTTTCAATTGGTATAATATGAGAGGTAAAAGAAGATAATTTTGTAAACTTCTAATCATATTCTACTATTGACATTCCTTTACTTCACTTTAAAGTGAAAAACTCTTCAACTTTTGTGTCTCTAGTACTTTAAGGCAAATATCGATTCAAAAATATAGTCTTGAATTCTTCCCAAGTCAAAGAAGGTACTCTAGTTGCATGTAAACCTGGGACTATTTTTGCTCAAGTACTCACTACTCCTTGAAACTGGAGCATTGTAAATTCAACATACTAGACATCAGGGCATCTCAAGGCCCTACATCTCTTCATAATTCCTTTGAGGAATTCAATTAGATCCTCTCATTTATTAGTTCTCAAAAAGGACGGTGAATTTAGTTTCATAAATTCCAATAGCTTAACCGTAGGATTTTCCTCTTACATATCATGTGTTGAAGGGACAGTCTATTCCTCAGACTGAGAACTACTCATTCATCTCTATAAGAAATATCTTAAAGTGGCCTAAGGGTTTGGCTACCCCTAGCCCTGATCCTAGTTTGACGCTGTCCTCTACCTCTCAAGGGCACTTTATCTGTCAAAGAAATTCTACCAGAGGCCCTACTACCAGTAGAGCTCCTAGTAGATACTCGATATCTGGGTGGTATGTTTAACTATATAAGAAGATCAAAGAAATATTTAGTTTTAACATACAATTCTATATAGCAAAAGAAATCAATAACAAGAAACAAATAATGTTTGAAGACTTCCTATAGAACTTCCAATGATGCCTCAATTATAATTATGTCCAGGTTCATGACAATAATTGAAACCTCACTGAAAAGTTCTTACTCCACATAACCATATATAAAAAACCTTGGCTTTAATACCAAAACTGTCATGCCCCAAAATAGTAGGTGACTGACACGGGTGTGAATCACTTCACAGATTCCCGTAAGCATCAAAATAAAAATTCATTCCATTGTAAAAATAAATAATTAGATTATATGAAAATTTTAAACATTTTTAATATTAATTGTCATAGCAAACTCTCGATGTTTTAGTAAAAATTTTAGCAGAACCTTCCTTGTAAATAAGATCTCTAAAAAATTTTACAACACAAAAATTTTCACAGAATACAGTACCATTTAGGAGCTTAGTTACATCCAGCTAGCAAATAGTATATAGATCACAATAAGGTCCTAACAACAATCTATATAGAGTAACTAATCTTTCTACTAAATCAAGATACATAAGACTTAAATATTTATATCAAAAAGCAATAGTACCAGATAAAATTTTCACCCAATATAGTTATATTGCCCTTCAGAGGTCGATGTGGGATCAGCGTCAGCTAATAAATCTAAGACCAAAATAAATTTTTTTTAATGAATAGCATTCCCAAAGTAGAATTTAAAAAAATTATAACAATAAACTCAAATATTAGTGTAAACTAATTGAAAAGATGATAATTCAAGATAATAAACTTATAAGTCTGTAAATCATAATCATAACCATAAAGTGAGAGTAAATTAGAAGTAATTTATTTTATTGTGCTTGAAGAAAACAATTTATTTAGACATAAATCAAAGTAATATACTTGCTAACCAAACCATGGAAACCTCAAAAACACATATTAGTCAACATTAAGAATTTTGAGAACTCAACATAATAAGTAATAAACGTGGACACATAGTCCATAAGGATAAATGACCAAACATGGCTTATGCCGCAAAAACAAACATGAACACACAGTCTACGAGGGTAAATAACCAAACACGGCTCATGGCTAGGAAAACAAACGTGGGTACAAAGCCCACAAATAACAAATATGAGAACAAAGCCCACGAGACAAACTAGTTAGTTTTTAACCATAGTGTGCTACAGGCTAATGGAACTATCGTTAGCAACAATGTTCTGTTTAGAGTTTTCTTAAAAATCACGCTTCAAATATGCAAGAAAAATAATCACTTTTGAAATACAATTTACATTTTCAATACCCAACTTGCATGAATTATTTCAAATTTTAATTTTGTACTTGTCAAAAATAATATTTCATAAATAATGTACAAGCTTGCATTAATAGAATAACTAAGAATTTCCAGAGTTTAATAAATAAAATAATTTCATAAATCTTTGAAATATTTTTTGAGGAAATAAATGCACATATCATCATCTAATTATCTATCATCAATATTCCGTAATTTTCAAACTAACGTAATTCATAAGAGTAAAATATTTCAGTAAAAATCTATTGATAATAAAAATAAATTAAAGAAGGTGTTATTCACTTACATGTCAAAGCTCTAAATTTTAAAAATATTCTGTCTTCAATTTCTACCATAATTCTCTTCTTCCACACACCCTATACAGATATAATAAATGAAGTTGTAATAGATTTCCAATGTTTAACACAATACCAAATTATCCATCATCATCTAAAATTCAAAATCAATTTTGTGATTTAAAGTTAGTCCATGCATTATCATTCATATCACTAATTTCCTTCATATATCTTTAGCCATGCCACTCTATTTACTTGAGATAAAATTTTCTCTTAGGCTTTACACCAATTTCCTTCATATATCTTTAACCATGCCACTCTAACCATTCAATTGAAATATTCAGCAATTTACCATTACCATACAAATCAAGAACTAATAAAACTTTAAAATATTAAAAATCAAATTTAATTCTTCTAACAAGCATTTTAGCAAACATCTTACAAATTTCATGCCTAAGCTCTTATGTTTTGACTTCATGCTAATCAAATTCTTAAGATCAACTAGTCCAACAATAAATTTAACTAAGCCTTAAACATATACATGCATATATCATTACCAAATTTCAAATGGATTCCAAGCTCATTTAACTTTATTATATATATATATATATATATTTCATTACACCATACGACAGTAGCAGAACCAGAACAAAAAAATTTTGCATCTCACGCCCAGCCACAATAGAACACGTTCACCCTCACAACAGAACCGACAATGAAAAGGTTTGAATCTCCTCACCTCAACCCAGTGAAATGGAACAGAAAAAGGAGCACAATGAAGCAGCTCCTGTGTTGCTAAACTGAGAGAAGAAAGGAAAGAAAACCCACAGCACCAACAGAGGAAATATGAACGTCCATCTTGGAAGAAAAAAATAGAAGGAGATAAGGAATACCGATGGAAAATGGAGAAGAGAAGCTCACGCTCAGGTAACCACAAGACTCTCCACTGCAGAAACAAAGAGGAAGAAAATGAAATAAGCCACTAGATAGGGAGGGGAAGACCCGAATACAGCACGCCAGCAAGGAGAAAATGGTATCAGCAGCAGTAGACCAAACTCGTGACAGCACCACCAGCAGCAACTCGAGCGCAACGACACAAACAAAGACAGAGCAGAAGATGAAGCGGAAAAATAGAGACATAAAACATGGAGGGAACAAACTAGAACAACTACAAGCTTCAACCTCACCAGCCACCACAGGAAATCCGAAGGGGAGATGAGTCGACGATCACTAGAATGAGAAGAGGGTCGAAGATGCAGAGAAAATGGTGAGTTGGTTAGCTTCTCATACCCTCTCTCTCTCTCTCTCTCTCTCGCGGTTTTCTGGAATGGTCAAAGAAGAGAATGAAACTTTTATCAAATTTGAAAAGGGTAATTTAGTAATTTTATAAACAAAAAGCATTAAAAAAGATTTCCTGGTCTTCATCAGCTTCGAACGTGACCTAATGAGAAAAATGCATATTCAGCTTCCACTGCATTAGCTTTCTTTCTTATCATATTTATTCTAAGAGTTAATATAATTAATATTAAAACAGAAATTTACTTATTTAATTTTACTTAAAATTCTTGGGTTATCATAGGTAAAATTGAATTTTGAGTTTGTGAAGGTTGTTATTTAGCCCAATGACTGGTATAGGGTTATTGGAAGTTAAGTTAAGAGTTTGTAATTAGATTGGTGTTGCTAAGGGGGTTTTGGAGATTTGGTTGAATTTTAGCCTCAAATGAAAGGTTAAAGTTGTAAAAACCCTATATTGATGTTAATAGAGTGAGTGGAAGTTGTAAGAAGCTTGTAGAGGTTGATTAGAACTTAGAATTGTTCAATGATAAGAGTTTGAAGTTTAGATTAACTTAGTTGTGCTGTTTAGTACTTATGTTAGATTAGGAAATTGACATATAGTACTTCATCTTGTATATTGAAATAGCTCATGTCACACTCCAAAAATCAAGTATGATCAACATGGAATATGGATACAAAACTCACATCCCTTAAGTCTTAACTAGAGAAACTCCTAAACTAATACTTTGAAAACATTAATAGGATGATTAGATTTTTTTTTACAATATTAAATCAGATATTCAATCTCAAAAGAAATATGAGGATCCTACCTATAATCTAGGTGAATCGCCTAAGGTCAGACTCTAACATAAGTACAAAGTTAAATTTTCATCAAATTAGGAATTGTTTAAAAAATTCTTCCACTTTAGTTGAGCAATAAAACTCCTTAAGGGACCCCTCGAGGTACCAGTTCATCTATTCCATCTGAGGCCAAAAATATATTTTTCAGTGAATGATGTCCTAAATTAAAATTAAAAGAAATAAAAAATATAAATAGAATAAACATGAATTTAACTAAAATAGTCATTTAGAATAGTAGGAGTGTATAATTCAAATTAAATAATTTTATTTAAGCATTTAATCCAACAACATCCTCATATGATTATAACACAACAATCAAATTCCACTTCATAACTTCCAAGCTTGTATCAACCATTTAGGAAATGCACATCTCATCATAAAGAAAT